CCGTTTTCCTTCACCGTTTGTCAGTGGTGTCTAAATAATATAGAAAGTAAATATAACTCAGAAAAAGTCACATTGGTACTTGCCCCATGCAGGTTGAAAGAAATAATTTGAAGATATTCTCCTCAAAAAAAGAAATCCTTGAGTATGAATCTAACGTAAATAACTAAAAGATATTATTACTATTCACTTAGATAGAAGTGTATATTATACTCCTGTAAATGTATTCCGGTATAAAACTATTTGTAAATAATTAAATCTTGTTATCAGTAATACATTTGAGATAGAGCTAACGTAAACATATAAAAAAATTACATTATAATTTAAATAAAATATTCTAAGACAAACTTGTTTATTTAATAACCAAAAATGAACCACAAGTAATAATTAAAAGCAATTACGACGAACTTTATTAAGTGGGAAAGCTGAGGTCAAGATGTATCGACGATAGCCCAAGGATGTTGTGATCAGCAGTCAATAACAGTCGCTGTCGATCGTGAGGTCGCGGGTTCAATTATGTTAGCTGAACTATTGTTACGAATCACTTCAAAACTAGAATTCTTTTAATTGAAATATTCGTGTTGTAATGTTTTGTTGAAACAATAGATGAAGGATAAAGTCGTTGAAATAAAATATGAATGTGTGGTTCGCAATGTTTTGTTGGTCTGTCTTGTATTACATGTTGAGTCATATACCTATTTTATTCTTTGTTGTGAATTGCAGGACATTGCAAAAAGTTTTGGATAGTACCGAAATACCTTATAAGCTGATGTACTCAGTGAAATTTAAAGAATATAGCTATTCCTGGGTGATTAAAATGATTATTTTATTTTATTGATAAAAAATTAAGTCATTGACTGCCGACATAATAATGTTATGGGTAAACTCTCCGCTAGCGTGGCCCAATGTTGTCCACTTATCCCCCATGGTGTTCAACGTTTTAAGCAACTATCAAACTACTCTGAGCACGTCTAAAATTTATTAATATTTTCTGGTTTTATTTATATCTTATAGGTAGATCTTATCTGTCCATAAAACAAAATGATTAAGTTTCATTTCACATAAATTTAGATTCCATAGCGTTCATATTCACGAAATCTAGATTAAACATTGTAAATTTTCTCAAAGAAAAAATTTCACAATCCCATGCAATCCCATACAATCCCATCCATACCAATACTCTCTCGGGAATGCCAGCATAACAAAACGCAAATAACCGATCAACAGCAAGTTAATTAGGCACAAGAAACCATCTCACATATTGATAGTTCCCAGGACGGTATGCAAAAATTGTTGAGAAAATACCACGGGACTGCGTGGCCGATAATTCCCGGGACGCACGCCGGTAATTTCAGCATTTAGGCCTATACACTGGGAATTGTAATTGTCTGAATTCGTGTTACGCACTACGCTACTTTACTCATATAGTGCGGTGCTTTAGTAGTGTTGGGAACGTGTTTTTGCAAAATTATGTCGATGATTAGTGTTAAATAGGTATTAATGTTTTGTTATGAATGGGAAGTATTTTTGTGTATAAATTTTATAAGGATTTTTTTTTCATTTTTTGTAAGTTTTGCTGTAAAAGTGTTTATATTATTTTATTTAAGCGTCTGCAGAAACATTTTTGTACAAGGTCTGCTTAGTGCTTAAGCATTCTCTACAAGTTAAATATTTTGGGTGATGTATAAATTAGTCAAAGTTTGGTGCAAGAAGCAAAAAAGCCATGAAATTACCAGTTACACACATGCATAAATATCATTCACATATAAATAAAAATGTATACAATGTTTTGTTGTAGGAATATTTTATAAGTTGTTAAATAACTATAACTATCGAATAAAATTTAATTACATCATATTTATTTCCTCTATTATTGTTTTCTGGGAAAAAATTCGAACGCACTGACAAAAAAATATTGATATTAAAAAATGTGCAAGAATATTTTTTGCATTGGTAAGCTTTAAGAGAATTTTGTTTTTACGATCATTCGTTGGCATAAAGCTAGCCAGCTATCGATTACCAATAAAACAACAAAGTCTAAACTATGGAGAAGTCAAGCGTCATCGAGAAGCGAGCTCAGCAAAATCATATGCAAAATGCGTTTCCCACGACCCGTGGACAATCGAACGTTTATCGAGTGGCCAGGACTCTTATTCTTTATCGATTATTTCTTATCGATATTGCGTAATTCAAAAAAACGTTTGGTAACTTATTCGAACATAAATTAAGACCTTTAAAAGAACTGAATAGTTTTTTTTTAAGATATTATATGCAGCTGTTCAAATATCATTAAAACTAAGCACGTTCATTAGTAATAAATCAAATTAAATGCCCCAGAAATTGATAAATTAATATCAATTCCACTTACGTTCAACTCATATCGATACCGTTATCGTAAATCTTTCGGTGTTTAAATGTTTTAGTTTGACAAATTAAGCTATTCCATTTTATCTTTATCGAGTTTTTATCGATATAAAAATATGAAACAGCAATAAAACTTTTTAAGTATACAGATAACTATAATTTGTTGAAATTCTTCCAATATATTCGACCTTGAAAAACATTTTTAATAAAATAAATGCATTGCGCCGGTTATAACGCGTTACATCCAACATGTTGCATATTTTTACCATTTCAAATTATTACTTATAATGACTAGAATGCCAAACATCAGCCACTTGTAAAAATAATAAATATAAGTTGTTGTATATCCAATATGGTAAAAATACTGCCAAGAAACTTTAGCTCGTATCAGAAAACTAGTCGACAACCAAAATTTATCTAAGTTACCTCAGTAATTATTTACTGGTACAAGTACATACGTATTAAAACAATCAAATATACAGAAAAAAAAACAGATTTAAAAAGCAAATTGGACAACCCTAAAAACGTCTAATCGGCTAAAAACACACTCGTTTTATTAGTATCCCGATAGCTAAAACACACAAACGACTATCAGAATAGGGTTGTGCTTAAATCCATCCGGCCGGCGTCCGGCAACTCGGCCGTCCGGGGGAATCTCGGCGAAATGTGAGCAACGTCGGCTAACATGACAGTGAAGTACGTATGTATGATAGGAATTCATTGTACGAAAGGTTAAAGCTTATTTATTAGGGGTCATTGGGGAGCTACGCAACTGGTATTCAGTTGCTGATTATTCTAAACGTTTTATGAAATATTCAGTAGTTTTAGCTTTAGAGGTGTACTGAAATTAAATTGTAACAAGGTGTCGTGTCAATCAATCGTCATTGTAGTATATAAAGTGGAAATAATTAATAGTGTTGTCATGTTTATTATTTTAATAATCATCATTGTTTTTCTAAGTCGCGTGAATAAAATGTTCCCTTGTTTCTAGAAGCAAATTTAATTTACTGTATCTTTTATTCGATTCAAAATCCTCAAGAATTCAATAACATAAACATGAGTCATATCAAATAAAGAAAGCTTCTAAATTCCAGAGCCCCAGTAACCATGTGAACCGCGTACCTTAGCGTGCAGTACGGGCGTGACAGGCCGACTCGGGTTCGATTCCCTGCAGGCACCATTAGGGCCAATAACCATCAGTCGGTAGCCGATCCTCGGCCTGCTAATTTAGTCTAATTTTCCTATCAAAACCGAAACGCTATTGTTTTTTTATGCCGACAGTAGCTGCCTAACTGTTTTATCGTGAGAACTTCGTTTTCTTATGTAATTGCAGACTTTTAATACTTTTTTTTGCGACTTTTTGTTTTTATATTTCGGTAGTTGCGTGTGTGCTTCGTGTGTGAAATTCGGCCTTGCGTTAATGCGGTAAATGAAGCTTGAAGGAGAGATTCTAAACGGTTACCGTACGATAGTTACCTATCATGGTATAAGTGTATATAAAGATATTCAAGGCGAATTTCGTAACTTAACACTTCGGTAACCTTCATATTTGGATATTATTTTTTATTTTCAAATATTTTTTATATTTAGAAATGTTCGGTGTGCTTAAACATGGAGGATATTTCGTGATATTTAGATAGTAACTTAAAAATCAGATATGGAACGTTCTTTTCAGTTTTCATGTCTGAAAACTTTTTTCAACTTAAATAATTTCGATTACATTAAAAACGAGGAGTTTAAGACGCGAAGTTTCTTTTCCATGTACTATTAAATTACATTACAAACATATCCAGTGCAGAAAGAATGTCACGCGATGACTAACATCGAATTTTTGATCTTCGAATCTTCTTTTTCTTCTCACAACACATTTTAAACAACAGATATTCTTAAATATAATACACACATGTTCACATAATATATGAATAGGTATGTATACAACACGATTACTAAAGGATGCGCATGGGCACACAGGGGAGTGGCCCGTTCGTATTACGTATTAATTTAAGCACGCTTCGTTAGTGATGCGAAGTGCTTGTCAAGTTTCTACTAACACCTGTTGTAGACTCGCTGTTTATTCTGACGTATTATTTTATTGGATATCGTTTTTATTGGTATATTAAAATAGTCTAGGTAAGAAAGGTAAGGTAACAAAAAATCATTTTTTTTTTCGTTGATTTAGCTAGTCATTTCTTTTTGTTTTTTTTGTTGGAGCTGCTCATGAAGTGACTGTGTCAGAATTGTCATACTATAACTGCCTAAAAAACACACTGGTTGAACATAGTTCCTATCGACCATTTCCATGCACGATGCTCATGGATCTTGCTGTGATTTGAAACTAGAGTTTGACTTGAAAGTAGAGTTTTTTCGCGGTTCACTCTGTGAGTAATCCCTCCCCTTCCCCTATCCCTTCCAGATCCTTATATCCGCAGCCCCTATCCCCAAAAGGTCGGCAACGGACTCGTGACTTCTTTGGTATTGCAGGTGTCCATGGGCGGCGCCGATTGCTTACCATCAAGTAATCCGTCTCCACATTTGCCGACTTATACCATAAAAAAGAGTAAATCGTTATTTTCAATAAATTCCTTTTCTTTTTTCTTTCTGCCAAAGATTTACTTGTTATTATTTAAGTATAAACATACCTTGTTGGAAGTAGTTGGATTTCCTCACATAGACACAGACAAGGGCCATGAGTTGAAGTTGTGACAACCTTTGCCTGGTGGAAGGAGGGAGAGGCAGTAAGTCCCGAAGGTTGGCAATCTCTGCGTTGATGAGGTCGCGTCTCAACTTGCTCGCGCCTTTCGTTGATTTGCCCTGGTCGAACCTGAAAGAAAATTGAAGGTTTTAAATTCAAAAGTTTACGAAATTCTTTGGTTGAGAATTTTCTTTTCGGATTTGATGATTGATTGCCGATTGAGGAGATAGTGTGTATATTGGTAACTCACTATTGATATAATCACAATCAGTACAAATACATTGCGTATTTCCTTATATTTAAAAATACAATCTCCATTTACCCATATGCCAATAGTGAACATCTCTACATTTAATATATTATTACAGATTTACTATTATAACTACATATGTACGTATAATACCTACTTTTTTATATGCTAGCAAGTATATTAAAAAAAAAACATAAATTATTAACAAAAAAAATAAAGTAAAAATGTTTTTATAAGTCCTCATTTAAATTTAAATATCGAAAATAAAAAATTAAACAATTTTTTTATGATGCAGTTATTTTAATATTCGAATAAAATTCGTTCCACATTCATATCCTCATAGTCGTCATTTTAATCGATTTATTTGTATCGATATATAATTTTATCGATTTTATTGTGTTAGATATGAACGCGGAATGTTTCCTAAAGTTACGATTTACCTTGAATGGTAATCGAAGTAATAGTTCGTTCTCAAGTAAAGGTCGTAGTTACTTATAGCAATATTGAAATTATTTATAATATTTCAAAAAATGTTCAAATCGTTAATGGATAGGTAAATGAATTATTTAAGAATAAATGAAATATTTTTGGATTGTCACTCTAAATATGAAGAATAACACACGTTGTATTGTTAATTAATTAATTATAATATTATTATTTTTCTTCTAACTCAAATTCTACAAATATTTTATCTAAATATATATATTTTCAAAACAATACATATCTATTTAAATTGTATATGCCAATCTAAAACACTAAACTGTTATTTGAATTTATTATTTAAAAATACTTAATCGAATATGTCGTACACAAACAACCGTTGCGTCTTTTGATTAAAATTAATATAAAAAATTATGCATTTATGCATATAATTGTTGAAATCATTTAAATGTCCCCCTAAATACTAATGAATTTAAAAATGAATAAATTTTTGATGTTTTGTCTTATCCTAGAAATCTAATAATTTGATTGGTAAGAAACTGGGCTAAGGTCTTCGAATTGAAAAGATATCCGTACTGTTGGTATTATTTCGTGAATAGGTTAATTTACAACTAATCAAGAGACATCAAATTGCTAGTCAGGAATTGTTGTTTCGATTTATAAATGCCAATTTTTGTTTGAAGGACGAAAATCATCGAATGTTAAGTGGAGCGAGAGTGAATGACAGATTTTTACTGACTAAAAACCACACAATTTTTTCTTCTACTCCAGGTCCAAATTTTACAAACTCAAATTTCCCAAGGATACATATAGCCGAAATTTACACCAAGTCGTCCACCATTAGACTAATCGCTGTACTCAAAGTAATTAGTCTTGTTCCAGCATTTGCTTTTGGAATAAAATGTTCATTAAGGAACAGTAGATAACTATATGTAATCGTTGAGGTCTGATAAAATAACAGTTAAGTCTCATAACAAACCTTGATAAACAAAATCTTCTCTGTTATTATTACCGCTATGAAGAACTAAGAAGCACAGGCAGTTTACAAAAGTGATAAAAAAATCTTTATTTTAGCAAAACTTTTACAACTATTTCATCTTCAATAACTTCAGGTTTACAACGAGAACACGAACATATTATTCGCTAAATTGCCCATTGATAAAACTGACCAAAGCAAATTCAAGCTATCATCAGCTCACGTTAACCTCACATCGACCAGCTCACTACATTATAACATTTGACCCGACAACCTTAAGCTGTCTCTCTGAATCCTTCATGGTCCTTGTAGTTAGACACCCTGACGCAATATTTCATGCCCTTTATCCTCATACACCAACGTCACTTGTGAAGTTTCTGATTAAAATTATCATGCTATTAATCTGTTTTGAATTCTAAATAGTTTTCGAGTTTTAAACTATGTACTGGGATATTGTTATTTAGATGCAGCTTTTCCAAGTGAGAATGAAGATTATGATGACAAAGTCGGGCTGGAGTGATGTGACGGTTTTACAGAAATCCAACTCTGGTTTTCCGAGTGCGGAAAATGATCGTTTGACTTCTCTCGCAATGTTCGACTGGTGAATGTGAAAAAGGGGAATGAAGTACGACAGTGTCCTTCAAAGTTGCTGTGACATACCGAGTGAGTGTTGGCATGAGTTATTAGTGAAAATGAAGTAAGAAGGAGCTGAATGGCTTGTCCTGATATACGCTGAGGCCAAGGTAGGTACATTATTGACCGCATAACCCGCAACCCCGAATGAGTATTGAACTCTGCTATCACCACCTATCAAGTTCTAATATTATAAAAACGTCAGAATATACCTGTAGTTATATTAATGCAATTGTAAATATATAAAGATGATGATGTCATTAATGATTAATTAGAAACAAGTTGAGATGTTTTAATATTACTCGTAATGTTATAAGGAAATGTTATCTTCAGTTGAAGGCAATGTAACTTGTAATAGATAAGTTGAGATTTATTAAAGTAATTTACAATATACCTTTTGAGAATAAAAACTCTATACTATCTATTATATTATAAAGCTGTAGAGTTTGTATGTTCGTTTGAACGCGCTAGTCTCATGAATTGCTGGTTCGATTCGAACAATGATTTTTGTGTTAGATAGTCACTTAATGAAAGAAGGCTCAATAAAGGCTATAAAACATCACGCTATGTACCTAAAACAAATAGGATGCAATTGATGTAACAACGCGGAAGTCGTTACAAAAATTACATGATCAAAAATTCCAATAGTTAATTACAAAAGTTTGTTTGTACTTAGTTTAATGTGGCAAACCTTAATTAAAATATCTTTATTTAGAGTGTTGCTAAACGTAAGAAAGAAACCGCACACACTAATATTATTAACCACAATTAAGATCAAGTTTACTTAGCTGAATTATAAATATTTGACATCAACGAATTCTATAAATACAATGTCACATATATTGTATTTCAAAACAAAATAAAAAAATCCTGCAAAAGATTTTAATTTAAGCTGGAAAGTATAACAAATGCAACTCAATCTTTCTCAAGATCTACCGAAGTAAGTGCTTTAAGACGGCGACCTATTTTCCAAATTTAATGACAACAAAACTCAAATAATAATATAAATAAGTTATACTCAAGCATTTTTGTTGCAAATATTTTTTGCGAGTCACGTTTTTGACTTGCAGAAATAAGATCAAAGACCCAGTCGTTTCACTTCATTCGGTACATTACCATTTACGTCGGAATTCCATCAATTTCGAAAATTATTTTGTTAAAGTTTTTTTTTTTGTTTTGCAAAGCGGGAGAAATCTTTTGTTGTTCGCGAGGCGTTCAGTGAATGGAATAAAGGAGTGAAATCGATGAGGGAATGAGTGAGTGGATCTCTTATTAGCTAATATAGTGCAGCACGCGATGCGCCAGCGCAGCCTGCTTGATGTGTTCCGCTTGGGGCTCGGTATTACGGAAAATCTTTTTGTTATTGAAAATTATACGAAATTTTTGTATTTAATATGGATTTATATTTATAAATCTAAGTATTTTGTACAAGTACATCTGTGAAGCGTATTGTGTCACGGATTCGATTACTGCACGGACAATCTGGGTCTGAGCGTAATGCGTGTGAGACTTTGTCTATTTATAAACGCTTTTCAGCATAAAAGATATTTTTTATTTTTCAACACTCACGAAATAATTATAGATGGTGTTTACATAGCAATAAAATCATAGATAGAGGAGGATGGGAGAAATAAGCTTCGGCACAAATGGGTCGGCTCGACTGGAGTGATACTACGGCCTCACAGACAACCGACGTGAAACAAGCTTTGAGTTTCGCCGTGTGAGTGAGGTTACCAGAGGCCCCATTGTTCCCCTCCCTCATCCTTTCCTAAACCTATCTGAAGCCCTTATCTTCAAAAAACCGGCAACGCACTCGTAGCTTCTTTGGAGTTGCGTTATATGTATAATAAAAAAAAAAATATGGAGGACTTGTGGCTGGTAAACCCAACAATGGGTACGCATAAGTATTTTTTTATTTATATGCATATTTATGTATATATACTGTATTGCACACATACACCAAGTAGCTATAGTACATTGGAACGTATGTATGTTGTGATTACAAAAGTATAAGAGATCCAATTTTGAGATCCAAGTTTGTATCCTGTCAGTCACAAGTGGAACACATCAAAGTCACATGTGTATCGTGGGAACGCGATACATTACCGTCGTAACCAGAGAGGGCTCTAACTCCTAACCTATTTTATGTATAAGGCCATCCTCACCTCACGAGCACTTTCCGTATTTTAACGAAAATTCCGTGAGCACCGAACAAAGGCTCCAATTTATATGAACATGTGAATCGGAATGCTGTTAGCTCAGAATTATTGGCTTCTGATCTAGATAAAGTTGGTTCAAATGGAATTCGTGTATTTACATAGCCCATATAATAACATAACATTATTATTTAGGAGTTCATTTGCATATGTATTATGTTTGAAGGAAATATATGTGTCTGTTGTGGTAAAGGTCGCCTTTGGATATAGGTTTTGTAAAATTTTCTTAGTTGTCTTTTTAATTTTAACCGCACGGTTTGTGCGGTGGCTGTGAAACTGGCTGCTGTGCAACGTATCCTGAGTTCGATTCCCGCACGGAACAACTCTTTGTGTTATCCACAAATTGTTGTTCCGGGTCTGGGTGTGATGTATATGTGAAATTGTAGGTATGTAACCACAACTACGACACAGGAAAAAATATTAGGGTGGGAAGGGTTATTTTAAAAAATCCTTCTGTTAAATTATATTAACTACACTACTTGTTGTCTTTATCCCGAACCAAAACTTCTATTTCAAAAAGGTCCAATTACTATTTTAATACTGGTAAACGGAGTTAAAATCTAAAAGGTTAACACAGAACAACGATCGAGTAATATACTTGTAACTAAAAATT